GACAAGAGCACTCGTCTTACGGTCTTATGCCTGAATGTTACCTCCCGCATAGTGTGGGGAACCCTTTGAATTGACGGCACTTGGGCGTTGGTGGGGACGTCCATGGTGGAGTTGGCAGCAAAGATCTTGGCTAGCACTTCCGCCTTGGCCTTTGAGTCGCATACAATAGTTCCATCCTGACACGTAAGTGGTGGAAGGCTACTGTGTGAGAAGTTCTTTTCAATCTGCTTGGCCAGCGTCCAGAAAGACCGACTGCCATTGCGCTGTGACATTACCCTGTGCCTAACTTTTATATCATGCTGGGTTTTGGCATTGCGAACCGCTTCGTTATATTTGTTTCTGGACTCGACGTCGGCTTGTCTGTTCTCTACAGTGGGGTTTTGTAAGTAGGTTCTGTGGGCCTTGATCTTCTGCTGGCGAGCAGTGTCACACGATTTGTTGAACCAGCCGTTGGACCCTGGTTTAGGAACTTTCACTGTGTGAGGGATGTATTCCTCCATTCCGACGTGGATAATTTCGGTTATTGAAGAACAGACAGTCGACGCATCCGCGTCAGTGAAACAGACATCTCTCCAAGGAAAGCTAGAGAAGAAGTCTCTGAGCCCCTCCCAGTCGGCATGTCCGTAATGCCAAGTTTTGCGGCCTGTGCGAGTTTCTGCGGCCACAGCGGCTTCTGACCGAAACCTAACCTCCACAACACCGTGATCTGAGTTACCCAGGGGGGACAGGACGGCAGTGCTGTAAGGGGCAGGATGCGTGGTCAGAAAGAGATCCAGCAGGCTACTGGCGTGTGACGAGACGCGGGGGAAAAAAGTAGGGCTCGTCACCAGCTGGGTCAGCCCTTGAGAAAGAGCGAACGCTTCGACTGCACGACCTGCTGCATCGGTCTTACTTGAGCCCAACCAAAGCTCATTATGGGCATTGAAATCACCGAGAAGAACTACCTCTGAAGCGGGGTGATTGATGTTCAGGAAGTCGATCTGGACGGCGAGGTATTCAAGTAGGTCATCCCAGTTATGGTTCGAGGGAGAGCGATAAAGGCAGCAAATAAATTTGGGTGATGTTTTGGAGTTGAGGCGAAGCCACAGAATGTCCTTCCGGTCTGATTCCAAAGAAAGATCCCTGGAGCAGGAAAGACTGCTGCGGACAAAAGCCACAACTCCCCCGTTCTTTCTCAGATTGGAGTGCACCTCGTAGTTTGGGAAGTTGAGATGGTTAATAGGTGCAGCCTCTGAGATTTTTGTCTCCGCCAAGAAAAGCACGGCGGGACGATTGGATTGCAGGTAGTGATGAACAGCATCAATGTTGCTGTTGATCCCGCAGATGTTCGAAAAACAAATTTTATCTTCGATGTTGTTCCCTCGAGCCCACCCTCCACCCGGACATTCCGAGAGTGGAGTGAGTTTACGTCCGGAGTTTTTAGTGTTCGAGGGATCCATCATCATTAATTTCTTTGTTTTGGTAGATAACCGACTGCATAGCTTAGGTGTGGAAACATGCGGACATTTATAAGACACCCTGGGAAAAGCTAGCGGGTGGTACTGCCTCGGTCGACTGGTCCTTGTCTACCACCTTCTTTTTACGTATTAGTGATGTTAAATAGACCTAAAGTGGCCCGTTGGTACTTCTAAGTCCACGAAGTATTGGGATACCCTGAATAAAATTAGTCATCAGAATTTAAGTAGTCTTATTTTTACTAAATGTTTTTCACTTGGTACCAGCAAATCTAACCTCTACCCAGCTTAACAGGTATGCAGGCGGTGAAAGTATGTTAATATAATGCGTTTTGTCTTACAGAAATTAAGTAATGTCTAGCAGCCCTTGGGTCTGTTTCAGGGTATTCAAAACTCTACAAAGTGGTCATTTTTCAACGCTTAGAAAATTGATTAAAATTTTTTTGTGCTTGCACTAAGTAAGTAGTCCCTTAAGCATAAGTAGCCATACAGTCAGAAGCCTAAATACGAAGGCACTGTGGCTGTTATGACTAGCTTAACTACCCAGGTTCCTTTTTCTGCAACTGCGTGCCTTAACAGTGTTCTGAATCATGAAAAAAAAAGTATTATTTTTTTGACGAAAAATACATATTATAGCGCATCTTTCTACTTTTATATTATATTTAAGCAGGTAATTACTTCTTATCACTTTTTCTCTTCGAAAAATCTTTGATTTTCTTGAAGCCTGGTTTTGAAGCAAAATTGAGTTCAATAGGATTTTTTGAAGAGAGACAGGGATAAGAAAAAAGCAATCACCCGCTGAATTCATTCATAAAAGTGAGATATTCACATACATAAAAAGTAAAAATGCATTTTTTGACAGAAAAGAAACATATATCAGGCTGTTGAAAAAAGGGACATGGGACAGCTTATAGTGGAACTGGAAAAAGTCTCCTGAGGTAGTATACAATCTCGATAACTGGAGGCAAAAGAACGGTCGTATCGGCCAGTTCTGGATGTACGATGTTCGACCGGGCGCTGTGTGCAACAATGGGGGGTCATGTGATACAGCAGGAAACCTACTCATGATGATAGTACTACATGAAAAAATAACTTCTAGCACTATGCCGTCACTTGAGAGCGGTACATGTAAGTACAGGGGAAAATTGAATTTTCTGTCCAGAAGGGATCGCAAAAGACTAAATGATTTTTTACGGCTTTCTTTAGTATCACAGATGCCAACAAAATAATCACGATGCACTTAGTGCCGTACGGAAATAATGGTGTCGGAAGCCATAAAAAATGTTTAATTTTCAGGAAATTTTCGATGCGGAAAAATTAATTAATTAACGTACGGCATTGTTACAGTTGCCTTTCTGTAATTTTTTATATTTAAAATTTACTAACGCCGTACATATCATATCAGGGGTGAGAAAACTTGGGTCGCAACCCCCTACCCTTATATAGTATAATGGTGGTGAATTGATACAACTTAAAATTAAATAATTTCAATAGTATTTGGTAAATTAACGACAATTTGTATAATGCCGTACATTTTTCGTGGAATATATGGCCACACGGGGAAAAACTCGAAAACCCTCTATAACGCGTTTTACTTTATATTTTGAAGGATATTTCAAACTTCGATTGTGATTTAAAATTTAAATGTGATTTAAGGGTGATTTGAATCAGTTAAATCGTGTCGGTAGCCCCTCGATATTTTCTATCAAATTAAAATAATGAAGTTCGCACTGCTGAGTAACAGTCCGGGTATAATTAATAATTAGTAAATTATAGTATTTTTAAATGAACTTGAATGATAAAAATCTGACGATTTTCTGTGAAATCAGTCACGCGAACTTTTTAGATAATAAGATTTTCCGTCTTTTAACAAATAAAGCTTTGTTGTGAAGATTTTATAATGAAAAAATACTATTATTTAATAGGCAATTGCAAATTGTACTTTTGCTAATTAGCAATTGGATTAATTACAATATTTGAATATTATAATTAGCGATTATTAGAAGAAGGTCATTAATACATATATGCACCGCTCTTACATCGCAAAGTTCTATTATCTGGTTGTCATCTTTCAGGCGCACAGCAAGTAACCGAGTCTCAAAATCGCAGTCTAACTGCATATTCTCAGAACTTCAAATTATCGTTCTCTAAAACTTTGATATATCGATAATTTTAAAGCCCCATGCTAAATTCCCCTATACTTGACTGGAGTGATATCCGAATTCATTCTTCCCTACTGTCGACAGTTGCAGATAGATCTATTAGCTCTTGGTGTCAAACCTATAGAGCAGGTTTTTCAAATCGTGAGCACATTATTCGTCGGATTTTCGTTACTTAAATTTCCTGTAATCACTGGGATCAGAAGCGTCTTAATAATAGAACGTGCTTCACTGATATCGATGATGCAAGATTTAGAATCACCTTCCCCCAACCCCCACTTTTTAAGCAGTACAATTTTTTTCTGTCAATGATAAGGAACCCCTGTAACGTCAAAAACGGAGTTTCGGCAAATGTTACTTTTTCTATTTTGCCTATAGCACCGCTGCCACTGGACTAAAACTTCGAAGCTTTGGCATACTAGTAACCCCGTGTGAAAATTTCATAAAAATCCAAGCGGTTATTTCCAAGTTGCTGAGTAATTCAGTTTTTCATATGACTTAAAAAAACATAACATCTCATTTTAGAAATTTTTCGCGATTACAATACTTCCTCGCCAATGACGTGGGAAGTAAAACGGCTTTCAAATCGAGGAGTATCAGCGATCGCGATTATGAGTACCTATTTGCAGAAAGACTACGCGATATTATATTATGAAATAGGGCCACCAAATTATCTGAATACGTCCTTTCTTAGTCCGTACATTGCGCCGCAACGCTCGAGTTGGCAGCACGAAACAGTAGACAAAATTCGTCCAAAATACGATTTGTAGCGATTTGCGCGCTTCGAAATTGACGCTTTATTTTTTGATATTTTTGGATGAAATTTTTACAGAGTACTGAAAACAAAACCCCACAGGGTGCTATACAGTCACTTTTTAATTTTTTTCACTAAGTTCTTTTTAAAAAAATCGAACAGAAAAAGTGCGCACTTCAACCCATCATAAAACTTGTGCAAAAAAAAAATTTTCAAGAAGTGCTCCTATAGCACCCTGGGCAATTATCTTCTCAACATACTGTATGAATTTCATTTAAAAATATTGAAAAATGGAGTGTCAGTTTTGAAGCAGCTGAACCCTTGCTTGAAACTCACTGCGTCGGAGCCGCCTTAAAGTGGGTTCTTCTTTTGGATGCACCGGGTGGAACTGGCAAAACATTCTTCTTATTTCGTTAATTCTTGCTGAAATACGATCAAATAATGGCATCGCATTGGCCGTTGCATCATCGGGCATTGCAGCAACTTTATTGGATGGAGGCAGAACAGCTCATTCAGTATTTAAGCTGCCCCTAAATATTCAGAATAACCCTGATGCAGTATGCAACATTAAGAAACAATCGTCTATGGCCACCGTGCTGAAACAGTGTTAAACTATCATCTAGGATGAACGTGCTATGGCACACAAACATTCGCTTGAGGCGTTGAACAGGACATTCCACTTCCAGTCATTCCACGTTCAACATACGCTGATGAGGTCAACGCTTGCTTAAAATCATCTCCATTGTGGCCTAATGTTGAAAAAGTACAGCTTAAAGTATATATGCGCGTTCAAATACTTCAAGATCCATCCGCTGAAACATTTTCAAAACAACTCTTAGATATCGGTGATGGAAAAATTGCTATAGATGAAATTGGGTACGTAAAATTACCGACCGATTTCTGCACAATCGCTGATTCGCAAGATACTCTCATTGAACAAATATTTCCCGATGTACACACACAGTACATAAGTCATGAGTGGCTTGCAGAAATAGCGATTTTAGCGGCAAAAAATGTAGACGTTGACAATTTAAATCTGAAGATACAAAAGTTGTTTCCACGAACTTAAAAATAATATTTGGCCTTTGTTATTTTTATATTCCCTCATCGTTCACAGCGCTCCATGCCTATTTCACGCATATATCACATCCTTACAATAAGTTAGTTATTTTTTGTCTACACTAGAAATTACTTAGAAATAATTTATATGGCAAAACAACGTTTGCCGGGTCAGCTAGTTAAATTAAAAAATGATAACTGAAGTTTGTAAATACACAAACTTACCTTTTAAAAATGAGACACAATAATTTGACACACTCAAACAGATTTCTCAACAAAACATGTACATCGAAATGTCAAATTTTTCGCAAGCTTGTGATGAATGTTAAGCGAAGCGCGGCGGGGGTGCGCGCGGATTTCATGTTGTGACTTGTCGAAACTTGTATAAACCGCCGGGTTTTGAAACAGAGGTTGGCAGAATAAGTGAATATGATATTTGATTTCTAATTGTATGCGTGTAAATTAAACATTACATTGTAATGTTGTTTGATTATTTTTTTGTTTTTTCTTTCTAAAATGCAAACACGTTCCGCCGCCCTGACATCTCTCTATGCGCCCCTTGGGAGGCACGCGGCACGCCCCCCTGGTTGGGAACTTCTGGCGTTGAGCATAGATAACGTAGTCAGGACGACAGCACCTCAAAGATATGAGCAATACTCGAGGCTAGGTCTTATCTAGGTCGTTTACAGATTTAGGAGTACATATGGGAAGAAGTACATTCTAAAAAAATTAGTTACGCCAGGCACTTTCATCCTGAGTACAGACCGAGATTTTGGAGATAAACAAATCGCAGGCATGCTCCTTTTACCTAGTCTGAATTCGTTGGTTCTGCAGAATGTCTGACCTCGGTCAGAATAGGCCGACACGGCATTGCTGTAAAGAGCTTTACCGTGTCTAAACAAGAACAGAGTGATGTACAAAAGTCTAATAACTTTTTTCGGAAGAAACGGTTTTGTAGTTTGTTATTATTATTTAACCAAATTTGTGCCGGGTTATCGCCGGGTAATCTCTTGATCCATGTTAAGGGACATCCGACAAACGTAATTATTAAAAAAGAGAGTCAGACAATATTTTCCATGGGTGCGCGGTTTTCGCCTCATCTATTATTTATGCTTTATTTTTTATGCATGGGCTCTAAAACGGAATAGCTGCCTTCAAGCGAGATGATCGACTACAAAAGCGGATAGTTGACGTTGCGCTACTGTTTAAAATATCGCCGCAGCTGCTGGCCGTTAAGGATTTCATAAGCTTCAGTAAGTCGCATTCTGCTTCTCACGCCAATTGGGGAGAAAGTAATTGTGATTATAATAATAATAATTCATTCATCTTGTGGATCACAAGATAAGTTGCAGTGGAATCTTTGTATGATAGTCTAATCATGTTTAAGGGGGTATTTAAAACATGGACGCATAAAACGGGTACACCAATTATTGTGGGAAAACTTTTTATTCAACAACAAAGAATAACAAAACGAAATCAAAGTGTTGTCAAATACAAGTAAAAAACTCTTCAAATAAGGTTAACAGGTATTTACGAGTCTCGCAAAATGTTATGGCCATAAAAATAGTCAAAATGCAGGTTTTGGTACTTGTTGGCAAGGCGAGGATGGTGTCAGGCAGAAACTCAAATTCCTCACAGGCTTTATACTTACGGATAACCACAGCAAAATTGGAGTCGATTGGTCAAGTAGTTACTGAGAATATCTAACTGTTTATCCCAAAACACATGACGTACGGCCATCACTAATAGTTTATTGAGCAGTATACAGGGTTCGTTCAGAAGACATTTTATAGCAAAACACACGAGTTTACCTTGTCGATATAAATCACGAACCATTCAGAAAGATAAACGAAGGGTTGCGTTTTTTCTTCTAAGCAAATTCAAAGCTTTCGTATTTGTGAGTAATTGAACAGATGCGCTACGATATTCAAGAAAGACTTAGAGCTGAAATTTTTACACGGTCACAAATGAGACTTAAAGCTTACAAAAAAATGTTTCATATTGAAATGCGCTGAAATGTTCATAAAATTAACATGCAAATTTCAATTATCTGCATATAATTCTCGTCGCATTACCAACAAGTGCCAAAACCTGCATTTTGCTTATGTTTTCAGCCATAACTTTTTTGGCATTAGTCGGATCTTTCTACGTGTGGAATCGTCTTGTAGGTCTCATAAATACCTAACAATCTTAGTAGGAGAGTTTTTTCATTCCTGCCAAGACTTTCAATTGAACCCCAAAAAAACGCGTTTTCTCATTCTTTGTAGATGAATAAAAAGTTTTACCACAAAATTTGGTGTACCCAGTTCATGCCTCCATGTTTTGAATACCCCCTTGAACAACTTGCGTCAGTAAACCAAACGTTACAATTATTTCGCAAATCAGGGGTATTTTCGTCTAATATGATTAGACTAAGAAAAGAATTGCTCACATACATAAATAATACTCGATAATCAAAAAAACATACTAGGTATAAACATGAAAATAAATTAAAATGGCAATAAATTAACAATTTGAAATTAACCCAGATATTACTGAAACTTTTTTTTCACAATATTTGCCGCTTTCTTAGTGAGAGTAGGTACAGTAAATTAACTCCATTTCAACAACCAAAACCGGTTTATGAACTTTTTTATCCCTAACTAAGAGTTACGAGGTGTTCCTTAAAAAGGACGGTAGTAAAATGACCTGCTGGTAGCAAAAATTTTATTTCAAGGACACATATTGTAAGACATAAAACAAATAACTATTCGGTGTGATACTATTCGAAACACGTTTTAGGATGTAGTGAAACACTACATTTTTTGCAGCGAAACTGAACTTTTTTATGGCATTCGCCACAACATTGCTGGTTCTCTTGATAAGCTACAAGGTGATTCAGCCCATCATATCTAGAATATGCATTTTCTTTTGTGTTTCGCTTAGATGGGCCACTCTTAACATTTCTCTGATTAGTTTCCAGAATGTTCCCAGCCAGACCTCTCCTAAATTCAAGTTAATCCATTTTACCTCCTTGTAACCGATGAAGCTGCCAAGCATTATGAATGACCATATCTACGCACTGAGCAAATAAAGGGAAGTACCACTTCTTTCCTCTTATGGAAATTCTATACAGACTAACATTTCGGTCTCCTCTGTCCACACCACCCATATAGTTATTGCAGGCTTTTATAATGTTTGGCTGCCTAATATGCTAAGTGACATATAAATCCGAACGCCCAGTTTAAATGGTTTTATTTTAATAAAAGTTGGGGAATGTATTTATCTTACTGTAAATAACAAGTGAAAAAATTTTCAGCCTTATCAGTTGGACATTCCGGTTTTTATACTGCTTTTTTTTAATTCACTAACGCTCTAAAAATGAATATTTCATCCGCAGTAAAGAATCAACGTTGGCGGTTTTTGGTTCTTGACATCCTTTACGATCGGTTACGATGCCTAGAGTACGGAGACCTGTACGATTTCGTCAACTTAGTGAGTTTGATAGGGGCCGTATAGTGGGACTTCGGGAAGCTGGACTTTCTTTTGCGGGCAATTGCAGTTAGAGTGCAAAGAAGTGTAGACACTGTGGTTAGGTGTTGTCAGGCATGGCTTCGAGAAGGCCGTACGCAAAGAGCAAGGGGCACTGGTCGCCGCCGTAGAACAACAGACCGTGAAGATCGCCGCCTAAGATTACTGGCCTTAAGGGACCGTTTCTCCACTACCAGGTCCATTGCAAATGAATGATTTGCAGAACACGGAAGACATATTGGCATGCGAAGTGTTTACCGACGAATGAGAAGTTTTGGCTTGTTTTCATACCAGCCACACTGGGTCTTCCCTTTAACTCGAGAACGCCGACGTAATCGCCTTGAGTGGTGCAGACAACGGTCACTCTGGGATCAGGAAAGGAACAGTATTGTCTTTAGTGACGAGTCTCGATTTTGTTTAGGCATGCACGATGGTCATGCCAGGGTTAGAAGGCGACGTGGTGAAAGGAGGAATCCACAGTTTTTTGTTGAAAGACATGTTCATCATACTGTTGGAGTTATGGTTTGGGGTGCTATAGCTTATGGTTCCAGGTCACCTTTAATCTTCATCAGAGGTAACATGAACGCGCAGCGTTATATCCACGAAGTTCTAGAACCCCATATTTTACCCTATCTTGACACCCTGGCAGATCCAACTTTCCAACAAGATAATGCCCGATCACATGTTGCAAGAGTCACAATAGACTTCTTTCAACATAATGATGTCACATTGTTACCATGGCCACCAAGATCTCCCGACTTTTACCCAATTGTGGGATATGATGGGTAGGAGATTGCTCAATTTGCAACGTCCTCCTCAGACTCTAGAAGCACTTCGAGAGGAGTTGGTGGTTGCCTGGAATGAGATACCACAGGAGGACATTGACCACCTGATCAGAAGCATGCCTAGGCGCGTTGGAGAATGCGTAGCACAACAGGGTTCATCCACACATTATTAAAGGTCAAAGGGCTTTAAAGCAGTGCAATCATTTTGAAATTTTTATCATTTACTTATTATGCTTCATTAAGTACTTATACAAAATTTTATTAAAATAAAACCATTTAAACTGGGTGTTCGGATTTATATGTCACTTAGTATATGTATATGCTTCTTTTCTTTCTGTGAATATCGCTTTATCAAACCTACAGGATGGACTGGAGTGAAATTAGAAGCAACTGTCACCACGTTGTTGTCATTCCATCGGCATACAACTATTCCTGTATCCTTGTCTAATTGATATTCGTATGATCCTCCTTCTGTTTTCTTCATCAGGGATGACTTCATCAGTGAGTTCAATGGGCAATTTTCAAGAATAGTACCAGTGCCACAAAAGCCTCTTTGTTTCACCTCAGCCAATAAATGAAGTGAAGTGAAGAAGTTATCAAAGTACAAGTGGAACTGTGTATCGCTCCACTTGCCTCTTAGGATATCTGTATACTGTAGGATCACACTTGAGCCTAATCCATAAATATTCTTATTATTATTGTTGTCTGGTGCCTCTGACAATTCACCCTGATAAGGAGAAAACCAAATCACATAGCGCAGTCTAAGAGCTCCTACCCAGAGTTTATACCCCCACCGTATAGGTTTTCCTCTTATGAACTGCTTACAGCCATGTTTGCCAAAATAGGGAACCATGGCTTCATCGATGGTATGCTGTTGTTCCAAAGGAGCAAACTCTAAGAACTTCGTATTCAATAAACTAAACAGTGGACGAAGTTTTGCATACCTGTCCGATTTATCCAGATCAGTATTGTCGCAGAAATGGAGGACTTTCATAATTTGTGAGAATCTATCCCTTGACATAGCTTTAGTTACCATATCGTTGTGGGTATCACCCCTATTTTCCCAAAACATAAATCTCCTAGGATGAACCACGTACCCACTCAATGTCAGGACACCTAAAAAACACTTCATTTCTCTCGAGGATACTTCAATATCCAAATTTCTTTGTAGTGCATATCTATTGGTGTATTTAACTATCATGTCTATAACTTCGGCATCAAAAAAACATTCAAATAACTGCATGGGAGACAATTCTTGCATGGGACCAGCAGGTTTATTCCATTCAAAGGCGGAAGGGGCAGAGATATCTTCATTAGTCCATGATAGTGTCTTTAGCTTTTTATCGGACGAGAGCATGTACCTTCTAGATTGGATGCTGATGCTTTGGGATAAAGTTGTGATAGAGGTATATCATCTTCAGAGTCATACAACTGCTCATAGTCTTCCTGTATCGATGATATTACGCTGGGCGGCCTATTTTGAGTACTCATGGCGTCTCCGATTATTTCCACATCGTTTCTCGGTTGACTTCCTGGAAGATTATTCAGTGTGGTGAACTCTTCATCTCCCGAATCACAATCTGTGAGGTCATCATTTGCATTCTCTGGTGGAAAAAGTACTACGCCATCAGGAGGAACGGGAATTCTATCGGGATGTTCTAATTCGTCTGACCAGGTGTAAAAACTAGATCATAACCTCAAAACAACTGATATAGGATAATGTAGACTTTTTTGTATGACTAATATCTGAAAACCATAAATAGTACAGATATTCATAAGTACAATTGTAACAAAAACATACCTCCACTCATACATGATCATTATTTGTAGAAGCACACTGTACAAACGTCGATATATTGCTAATGCGATACGCATGCGACTGAAGTGTAGTAATTGGTGGTAGTTCTAATGTTCTTTGACAGAGCATGGTGGCGACACCTTCTGTAAAATTACTGAAACTCCTTACGGAATCCTTGAATCGGAATGCCTTTATAAAGGATGGTAGTAGTATCTGGGTTAAACAGTTGAAAGAGTCAATCACACATTAAGCATTCTTCTATAGAGTAGAAAGGTTTTTCCAGTAAAATTCGTCTGGTTGTTTTTTTAATAATGTCAGCGGTAGTGATTTGCAGTCTGTTGAAGAGTTTGATTGCCATATATTTGGGATTCTCTTCCATCCTCGACAACTTATGTGACGGCATGTTTCTTGCACTGTAAATTCCAGAATATATACTTAAACTATAACCAAATTTTTTCTGGTGTGTTTTAACGTAAACCAACGTACACTGCCATGCAAAATTAACCGGACAAACAAAATTTTGATTAAATTAAATTTGAAATAACCTTTTAACCTCTACATCGGTTTCGCTAATTTTTTCGTCAAGTTGTGGAGTCTACTTACAAATTGCACAAGGCTCATAGTCAGCGGTGCGAAGAAAGTTACGGAGCGGGGGGGAGGAGTTATAAATCAATATAATAGAAAAAATTTATGAAATTATTGTAGAGCTATAGATTTATTTATCTATATGTGTAAATATAACGTGGGAAAAACCTGAGAATAACACCTTTAACTCGAAAACTTTGAACTGTACTATCAAAAATGTAATCTTCTAGATTTCTTTCCGATAAAATGTCTAGGACGTGATCAGGATCGACAGCAATATCCCAGTGAATAGAGATCGTAGCGAGTGAACTCAATCTTTCATGGCCCGTAACACTTCGCGGTAGAGTTTCATAGTGGAAAATGATCTTTCTACGCTAGCTGTCGCCACTGGCAAAGTGGCTAAGGTAGTTAGAAGTATTCTAATACCGTGAAAATAATTTCCATTACAATACAGTTTTAAAACCTCGTTTGATTGATCAGTGGACGATATCTTCGCACACCACAACCTATATTCTGCCTTCACTGCCGTTGATGATATCTTATCGTCAAAGTATGGCGCTAAGTTGTCTAACTCATCGGCTTTACTCTCATTAGCAAATCCTGGGAGGAGAAGTTGGAAGCTTCGTAGTGTATCTTCATTTTCAAGAAATCGTTCTATTACTATTACTATTACTATGATAATTGAGATGAGCAGAGTACACAGTACTATAAGCTCATGCAGTAAATATAGTGTACGGACACGTAACACAAATACATCAAATAGAGAAAAATAAAAAAAGACAGTTCACAGCTATAAAGTTTGTACACTCCTCCAGCTATCATACTGCACTTTGAAGCTATTAACTGAAGTAGCACCAACCACACTTTCAGGTAAACTATTCCAGGTGTTGAATATGCGGTTGGGAAGAAACCACTGTCGGACTGTTGTTTTAAATGGCTCCTTATGCAGTTTGAAGCTGTGTCCGCGTAGATTGCTGCGCGACAGACGGTATAGATGCATGAGGTTGGTGCCCATCAAACCATGAAGTATCCTGAACGTAACTATAAGATCGCCACGAAGTCTTCGCTCAGAGAATGAGGTCAGGTTGAATAATTCAAGGCGATCTTCATAGCTTGGTCTACGTGCTCCAAAAGGGATACGAGTAGCCCGACGCTGTACTGATTCGACGAGATTTCTATCGCGCAGAAGCACAGTGTCCCATACCGGGCCAGCGAATTCAAGAATTGGCCTCACGAATGCCTTGTAAATGTAGGCGTAAGTGTTGACATCGGATCCTTTGAAAGACCTCTCCAGCATGTAAAGAAGTTTCTTGGCTTTTGATGTAACGTGTTGAATATGCTCTGACCAGGAAAGACGATCGTTGACTACAACACCCAGATCAGTGTGGCTCGAAACTGCTTCGATGTTGTGGTCAGAGATCTTGTATGTATATCGCGGATTTGTCTTCCCGAGGTAAAGGACACAACACTTAGTTAGATTTAAGGGTAAAATCCAACTGACTGACCATTGACAAACAATATCAAGATCTCGTTGAAGCATAGCTGAATTAACGACAGTATTGTAAATCTTGGTGTCGTCGGCATAAGCTGAACATGTGGAGGAAATCAATGCGGGCAGGTCACTTGTATACAGAAGGAACAGCACTGGCCCCAAGACAGAGCCTTGAGGACTCCACTTGCTACATTATGAAGGTGAGACTGGCTATCACTGACGCGCACAGAGAAAGTCCTCCCGGTGAGAAAAGCCTTAATCCACAGTAACAACTCGCCTCTTATTCCCATACATTCCAACTTAAACAGAAGCCTTCTATGTGGTACGCGATCGTAAGCCCTAGAAAAATCTAGGTAGATTATATCAACAGGAGTCTTTCTTTGTGTCCAGATACTGAGTCCAATCGTTGAGAGAGTGGAGAAGGTTGGTCATTATTGATCGACCAGGGAGAAATCCATGCTGATTCTTGGGGGTAAGGTCATTTTCGGAAGCAAATGACAGGAGCTTATCTAATATGATTCTTTCAGCTGTTTTGGCGGCGTTAGGAACGAGACTTATTGGTCGATAATTTTTAGCGGAGGATTTGTCGCCCTTTTTGAATACAGGGGTAACAGAAGCACTAAGCCAGCATGAGGGTAGGGTATGAGATCTAAAAGACGATGTGAATATCAAGCTTAATGGTAGGGCCAGTGCTGTAGCGCAGTTTTTAAGTACAGCAGCCGTCATCCCATCTTTACCAGGGGAGGAAGAGGTCTTCAGATTTCGCAGGTGCATTAATACATCTTCAGGCAGGAACTCAACTTCGCAAAGGCTGTTGGGACACCTATGGCAGATAGTGGTCGGTAGAAGGTCTCCATTAGGCTCATTGACGAAGTCATCACTAAAGGACTCTGCCAGTAAGTTGCAGATTCGGTGGCATCCATGTGGAGATGATCGTCAGCGTCGCGGATCTGAGGTGATGAAACTTTGGAATTCAGGTTTGTTCTAGATAGGAGGTTAGAAAAGGATCGATGAGACACGTAATCTTGTGAATGGCCACTCCTCCTAAACCGTTGCCACAAAGATCTCTTGTGACGAAGCATCCTCGATATGTTAGAGTTGATCCAGGGCTTTGAGGGGTCACAGCATACCTTCTTTTCAACAGTATTGTCAGCCGTTTCGCTTAGGACTCGTTGAGCGAAAGTGTCCCACATATCTTGGGTGCTACGGTTGTTAAGCAAAGCAGGCCAGTTGACTTCAGACAGGGCTTGGTTAAGAGCATCGTGGTTTACAATTTTGATGGTTTTTGAAATTTTCAACCAAGGAATCGATGCACGGTAGAAATACTAAAATTCTGAAATACGCTTCATTTGATGCCGTTTGCGGGTTTGCACGATTTTTTTGGCGTGAGACAACTCTCGGAGCTCGAATTTCAGTGTCGAATAAGTCTTCAGCAAGTTTTGAAGCAGACAAAAAGATTTTCTCAAAGAACTCATCAGCAGATTCTCTAATTTCACGCAAAGACTGTATTATTTCCTTTGTGCGGTTGATAGCGGAGATGAAATCCAAAGACTTTTCTTGAAGAAACACTGACAATAGAAGAGTTAGACTAAGCAGTTTTTCACATACCAAAAGACCCACAATAAAGTCACTTTTTTGAATTGCAGATGTTGTTGATGATACAGACCGTGTTTTGCCAGCTATTTCTTCTAGACTTATGGTGATGCATTCAAAAAGTTCCCCGAATGTTATTATACTATCATGACTTTCAATGAATCTTGTATCACAAAGACGAATCATTCTCTTTTTTTACTGTCTGGAGCACACCTTTGGACGGTTTTTTCATAAACTTTATTTGCATTCGAAGTGATTCTAAACAGACTTATGATTTGACCAACTACTCCATGACAGTTGCGGATCACAGGGATTGACATTGAACGATGACTCGCACAGTGATAATACCTTGCATTATGATAGTCTTTTTTTATTCTTTTCTGAACTCCGCTCAAATGACCTGCCATGTTTGCGGCTCCATCGTATCCTTGTCCGACACACTTGTTCATGTCCAGTTTCAACTCCTTACATCGCTGCAGAATAACTTTACTGAGATTCTCGGAACATTGATCATCTATGGGGACAAAGCCAACAAAATCTTCTCTCAATACTGGAGTGTTCGGATCCTTCGTAAAATCGACTTATCGCAAATATAATGGTAATTGCTCGGTGTCTGAAACAACCATTGTTTCATCTCCAAGAATACTGAAGCAATCAGTATTGTGAACTTTATTGATAATTTTTCTGTAACGATATCTGAAGCTGTTTGTATGATTTCATTTTGCATTTGAGGGCTCAAATAAGTAGCGTTTTTGCACTGTTTGTGATGTGCTTTTCCAAAACTTTATCACCCGATTTAATTCTAAAACGCAAAAGAGCCCGAAACTTCCCATCTTTTTTTTCAGGCCTTTTTAAAGAGAAAGGACCACTATCATCAACCCCTCTCAGAGGTAATTCCTGTTCTCCGCAAAGAAGGACCGGACCGTCTCAATTATCAGTTTGAGAGCTGCTCTGTGCTCTTCTTTTTTCTTTTGGCAAGTTTCAGAGTCGTTAGTGTAGGGATGCTCGATGTTGGCAAATCTCGATAATGCTCTCGATGTTAACATCGACAACTAAACATCGATTTTCGATTTACATCGGGCACAAAACATCGATGTTTCCCAAGCATCGACGTTTATCACATGTGATGTAATGTAAGATGATTTGCGAAAATTTCAAAGTGGGCGACATTTATGGATTAATAATAAAAGCATAATGAAGGTGAACAACAAATATATGTCCAATATTGTAGTGATAAAAGAAAATACCATAGGTACGAAAGACGTATTTTATAGTAGTAAATGAATATCACTACTTTCCTACTAACATTATAAATGTGAAAGTATGTATGTTTGTTTGTATGTTTCACTTTCACGCCAAAATGGCTGAACCGATTTCGCTAAATTTAGCACGGATATAGACTAGACCTCAAGGACGGACATAGGCTAAAAATTTTCAATTATTTGTTCCATATAGTTCATAATATGATTGAGATCACTTGAATTTTGTCAGTTTGTCTTTTATGTTTAAATTTGAAGAAAATTTCTTTCGGAATTTCGGGGGGGGGCTTAAGCATAGCCACTAACAATTTAATTTAGAAAATTACAGTTACAACATTGGTAAGAAGACTATGTGAATCATAACCATAAACAATTTAACTTGAAAAATTACAGTGACATCATTGGTAACACTGCACAACAAATTTTAGTTTTTTAATTGTATCTTGTGGGAAAAGTGCACTTCTATGTTAATTTTGGGGGGCTGAATCCAAAAATGACAATGAAATAAAAAAATTAGTTGCGGTTTAGAAAGAAAACTTTTTATTTTTAAGGATATATTAAAAAAAGTAACAAGATTCATATACTTATAAGAATCGCTATATGCGCTGTCTTTCCGCTGTTCTTTTATGGATCGTTTCTGGAGCATCTCTACCAAGAGTCCAACAGTAGTCTGCAAGCATGGAAGGATTCCACTTTCCCTGGTACCTTTTTTCCATTGTTGAAATATCCTGATGAAAACGTTCGCCGTGCTCATCACTTACGGCTCCGCAATTGTCAGGAATAAAGTCCAGGTGTGAGTGTAGGAAATGTATCTTAAGAGACATATTACAGCCCATCTTTTGATACGATGACAGCATATTTTTGACAAGGGTTTTATAGTTGCCAGCTTTTCTATCTCCCAAGAAATTAGTGACCACCAGACGGAAATCATTCCAAGCAGTTTTTTCAATACCTGTTAAAGTGTTTTCAAACTGTGTATCTTTAACCTTTGCCTCACTTAGTCTTGGAAATTTCTGACGCAGGTATTGAAAAGCTGACCCATCTCTATCTAATGCCTTGACAAAGTTTTTCATTAGGCCCAACTTGATATGCAGTGGTGGTAATAAATTTTTTTTCGAATCTACTAATGGCATATGCTGTACATTTTTTTGACCTGGCTCTAGGAATTGACGAACAAGCCAGTTTTGTTTGGTGTAATGAAGTGCCTTTGCCCGACTGTCCCATTCACACAAAAAACAGCAAAACTTTGTGTAGCCTAGCTGGAGCCCAAGTAAAAGTGCAACAACTTTCAAATCGCCACAAATATGCCATTGGTGTTCATCGTATTTTATGCATGTCAAGGGTCTTCAGGCATGTCAGGTACTTCATATTGTCATATGATTCTTTCATGTGAACTGCATACCCTACAGGAAGAGATGGTAAAATATTTCCAATATGCAATAACACTGCCTTTAAAGTCAATGTTGAACTGTCTATAAACAATCTCCATTTTTCTGAGTTATAGTTTATATTTAAAGCCGCCAGTAAGCCGTTAATGTTACTGCAGAAAACCAAGTTATTCTCCATATTGAAAAATGGTTCTAAGTCTTTGTGGCGTTTACGAAAAACACATACCGAAACATCGTCTTCTAACAAGTTCCACTGCTGCAGTCTTGATCCAAGTAAATCTGCCTTACATTTTGGAAGTTCTAAATCTTTTACAAGATCATTTAATTCTGACTGTGTTATTTTGTGCGGTTGGTGGCATGACGTGCTCGGTATAAAATCAGGATCTCTTGACGTTGAGGGCATATCTTCTTCCTGACGAATCACTCGATCGCCATGATCTGATTTGTTTTCTGATTCGCAAGTGTAGGATTCTGGGGGTTTTGGAATAGGATTTTCGTCACTGTGAGGCACAGGTCTCATCGCAGATGGTATGTTTGGGTAGTTAATAACCGATTTTTTTTTTCTTGGACATACCCGTGGCTTGTCCAACACAAGGTACCATGCAAAAGTAACAATCATTAATATGATTTGTAGGCTCTCTCCAAACCATTGGGACAGCAAAGCGCATAGACCGTTTTTTGCCATTTAACCAGCTCCTCAGACTTGAAGCACATGTATTACAGCAGATGTGGGGTGCCCACTGTTTGTCTTGATCACCTAGTTTACAACCGAAATAAAGCTGATATGCCTTTGTTATTAGTGGAGTAATAGACCGTCTCTGAGACGCAAAAGTCACATCACAACACACGTAACAAAACTGATCTGGATTGTCTACACACTTTCGAGACATCTTGCATGAACGCTGTCAGCCAACTGAGGAAAAAATGGCTAATATAAAACAATATAATGTACACGTATGTATAACGTAACACAATCATGCCGATTACATCATCTTTCCTTGCCGAATATAAAAATGTAGCACGTGCATCCTTGTGAATTACAGTATATTAACACTGTCACAGCAGGAACACATATAATTACCGTATCTCTAAAACTTGAACTAATATTGAAAAAATAAGTTTCATTCCGGTTTTAGCACATTAAATATAGTAATATTTTGTTGATTTTATTTAGGATATTTTTTGGCTGTTGATCAGTGTAATTAGAAATTATTATCAAAAACGAATCCCAACATCGTTGAGCTACTGCCTAGTCATTCTGGCTATATGAGGCCGAGCATTATCTTGAATTAGGAGAAAATTCTCTCTTATAGAGAAAGCATAGCGTTTTTCACGCCTTCTTCACACTCTTTGGCGACCATCACGTGAATATCTCTGTGAAAAGAACGTTTTTCTATTCGGCCGTATCCCAGTCTGCATGAGTTCGAGAAAATTCCAAGCGTTGCCTTCGATGACCTACATCCAATAGAGGAGTTAATTCTAAAGTTGATTCTCTATAAGGAGGTTACGTATCCAAGTCACTCTATCTATATGGAGGCAAGTATTGTATTGCAGAAAAATTTATTTCTATAGTGGTCTAGTACATTGTATCAAATAATCGAAGCACTTGACGCGTATCATTAATAACTACAGAACAAGATTCAATCAAAATTCAGTGTGTATTACACCAACATCAGAAACGGTTTCTGAACGAACACTTTTTTCTTGGTACCAAAATTCTATAACTTCATAACGGAGTCATTAAAAGCAATAAAATCAATTAGATTATTTAAGAAGAAATGGATTTTACAACAAACAGGATGCTTCTCCATGAAATTATAGACATGAAAAATCAATACCGAATTAATAATAAGTTAGTTAACAATAACTCTCATACCAATAATACTTTTACGTCAGTTATAATTGTCTCGATATTTTCTTGACATCCCTATATTAATTCAACTCACCAAATTATATAGAATTTACGCTAAATCATTCATTATTCAGGGTGTCCCATTTTCGATGATATTACGCTTACGAGTAAAGATAGTGGCTTCCGCAATTCTGTGCTACTCTTTTGTGAAAAGACAGATGGTATAAATAAAATTTGCATAGTTGCATAGCCCACTTCGATTTTTCTTAAACAGGAAAACATTAAAATACCAGGTTGCCTTCTTTGTGGATAAATATAAATTAAAATGATAAAAAAATGAGCCCATATACGCCAAAGGTGAATAAATATTTAAATAGACCTGGGAAGCTTCACATGTGTTTTCATTGCTCTGTATGAAGCAGCCTTACATGTCATGTTTTTCAAGATACTGATAACCCTTATTTTCAGCTACCGTAAAAGATATAATAATTACACATAAATCATAAATTTTGCAACTGACAGGTTTTGACAAGGGCTTAGAAAATAATCATCCCATCGTTCTACTAATTACGGCCTACAATACTTACCAAGAGTTTCTTATAGGGACACATTTTGTAAAATTGTGAACCTTAGATTTATTATACAAGATAAATGTCATGTCTTATATATTTCTGAATTTGTTGAGCATGACGTATTTCGTTGTAGGATTTCTGACATAAAACGTGTCATTAAGTAATCGATATGTATACTAAGTGACATATAAATCCGAACACCCAGTTTAAACGGATTTATTTTAATAAAATTTTGTATAAGTACTTAATGAAGCATAATAAGTAAATGATAAAAATTTCAAAATGATTGCACTGCTTTAAAGCCCTTTGACCTTTAATAATGTGTGGATGCACCCTGATGTGCTACGCATTCTCCAACGCGCCTAGGCATGCTTCTGATCAGGTAGTCAATGTCCTCCTGTGGTATCTCATTCCAGGCAACCACCAACTCCTCTCGAAGTGCTTCTAGAGCCTGAGGAGGACGTTGCAAATTGAGCAATCTCCTACCCATCATAT